CAGCGCCCAGAGGCACTTGGCGGCGGCCGGCGGGTGGGCGGGCGCCGGCCGCGGGGCCGCTCCATTCATTCCCTCATTAGGGATGCGGGGCCGCCTCCTCCGCCCTCCCGCGCTGGCTCGCGCTCGGGCCCCGCTGTTTATTTTTGTCCCGCGCCCCACCCGCCCGGAGTACGGGAGTCTCAGAGCTCCGGGGGCCTTTTCTCTTTCTTCGTGGTTGGGTTTTGCCCGCTGGAGGCGGGAGGGCGCTGATGTAACGAAGCGACCCCCCCTTTTTGTGTGTGTGTGTGTGTGTGTCCGTTTCGTTGGGGAAGCGTCGGGTGCGATCCGACACTGGGTCCCGCACCGCCGATGGGCTACCCCCGGGGACTTCTCGCTTGCTTCAGTTCTTCTCCTCCGCCCCCGGCGCCAAGCTTTCTCAAATCCTGCCCTCCCCGGAGCCCTCTCTCAGTCCCCTTCTTGCAGGGAGCCCTTGGGGTCAGGGTCACCCTAATAGTTGGGCAAAGGGCACAAAAGCCCCTAGAAGCGCCAGCAGGGGGCTCAGCACAGGCAGCTCGCCCGGGTGGCCCGGACGGCGAGGCCCCTTGGGAATGGGGTCCGTGGAAGAGGTCGCCCAGTGCCCACCGCAGCACCCCCCCCCCCCCCGTGTAGATGAGACCCGGGAGTCACAATGTCTACACTGGCTGATCGTCACTTCCTGGGACACAAGGAAGCGTCACTTGGGCGAGCTTGTTTAGGGAGGAGAGCAGCCTCTGATTTGGGCCCTGGCCTACCTCCTCCAGGTGGCTTCCTCACCCATCCATCCATCCACCCACCCACCCACCACTTCTCACATCCTGCAGACATCCCTATAGAAGGGGCGCCTCAGTCTCTTAGAAAGCAATGCTGCTGCTTCCTACCTTATTGGAGAGCTTACATTTTGTGCGCTCAGCCCCTAGGACAAAAACCTCACCATCTCTCTATTCCTCTACTTTCCAAGATTTCTTTTTCAGTTCCTTTCATGGGTGGGCAGGAAGATAATGGTTGGGCAGGAGCAATGGATAGAAGGGTATAGATCCAATTTTTGAGCCACTTCCATAAGCCTCCGATGGGAATCTCAAGATCACGGGCAATTCCTCCTCTATCCTGAAGTTCATACATTGGAAAAAAGAACCCCTGCACCAGATGGTTTTTATCCTGACTCATTAGAGATGGTTTCTGAAAAGTTGAGACTTGACCCTTACAACATGTTCCAAAAAACCTAAAAATAGCAAATACAGAGACCCTCTGAGGAAAAAAATCTCACCCAGTGTGTCTTCATTTCTAGAACACCATCGATGTATTTGTTTCTTTTGCATTTTATTTTGCAAACGCTTGCCAGTTTCACAAAGCAAATAAAAACCACAAGATCCCTTTGGTGTTGACAAACAGAGGTCAGGCTTTGGAGCTGCAAGGCTGTGTGCAGCCCGGAACGCCAAGCTTTTACAACCTCTCTGAGGACATCCTGAATCACCCAGGTGAACTGAAGTTGCCAGGGCAGAAGCTTGTACTTTTCTGTTCAGCCAGAGCCAGGGCTGCCTATAGGGGCTGCTAACAGCAGTGTCAGCAGCACCACTGATTGTTGCAGCCACTCCAGAGTGTCTTGTGTTACAACAGTACCCGTGTTAACCTGGGAATAAACAAGTATCTGTGAAAGGGTGTTCAGCCCCTTTGGAATATGAATCATTTGCTTTTCGGTGCCCACTCACATATTATCCTATGTCTTTAACCCTTGCGTGAACCCAGACAAACATTTTTATTTCCATTTTACAAAAGTCCACTCAACTGACTTATTGCACCAGGTTAATATTGTACAGAAGAAAATAACTGGAATATGTGGTATTGTTAATCTTGCACCAGTCACAAAACCCACAGCTTCACCCCATAAGGTTTATTATACCTGTAAGGTATAATGGCTAATTAGAGACCGAGCTCAAAGGAGAACCCAAGATTCGGACACAGTGTCTTGCTTCCAAGACTTGAAAGTGTACATTCAAAGTCATAGGCAAATCCCTTAGCTATATTTGCTACACAATGTTCACATATTGACACTAAACTGAAAATTGCATAACGACAGTAAGGGATACTTTTTTTTTTAGTTTATTAAATTTATTGGGCTGGCTGACATTGGTTAATAAAATTATATAGGTTTCAAGTATACAATTCTATAATACATCACCTGTATTGCATTATGTGTTTACAACCCAAAGTCAAATCTCCTTCTGTCATCATTTATTTGACCCCCTTTACCCTTTTCTATCTCCCCCCACTTCCCTTGAGATACTTGTTTTTAAAATCAACCCATAAAGAAAGGTTTGTCACAGTGGAGCTAAATTCAAAGGGAGTCTTTATTGAGTGGGTAACTCAAGTCTACAATTCTGGTTAACAAGATAGACTAGAAACAACTCCATTCAAAAAATGGCATTCAAATAATTGGTGTCTACCCTTGTAGACTTGTTAAATAATGAAAATTCACTTGGCATCGGTTAGAAAAAGTCATTGTGTTGTTTAAAATGAGTGTGTGCTCCTATGTGAACTCTGACTCCTTAAAATGGCAGGAGGCACTATTGTGATTGAATGAAACTGTTTAGCCATAGCCTTAATAAAGAATGTTCATGAGCACATTTTTCTGGCATCACTATATATAGCTTCTTGTGCCTGTGACTATGAAGAAATGACAAAAGGAATATTTTAAGGCTCTGAGTAATTTTCTTTAGGGTTATTAACCAAATGTGGGATGTTTAATTTAGAGGATTCTAACCTAAGGTATTAGGGTAAAAGAGGTTTCAGAAAGGAATAGAAGTACTGAGAAAACAAAAGAAAAATAAGATCTACAGGTGCCCAACCCACGCTGAAATGTGCTAAAAGAGCATTGCCTACCTATCTGCCTTATGGAGCAGAATTCTCTAGAACTACATTGGGCCGGCCGAGTGGCGCGTTGGTTAAGAACTGGCTTGGGACGCCAGAGGGCCCCGGTTCGGATCCCACATATGAGGGCCAGTGACACTGCCCTCCACAGCTAAG